TACCGCAAAGGTAGATGTGTTATAGAGTGGAGACCGTGTCTAGGCAAACGTAGTGTGGAACGCCCCGTGAGCAGATGAAGCGACGATCTGCGCAAGGTGGTTAGTAGAAACTGGATGCGTGTAGCCCAAGATCGGGCTAAGTGGCGCGCCTTGGGAGAGGCCTATGTCCAGCAGTGTACTGTCGCAGGCTGAATTTTTTGATGATGATGAAGATGAGAAATGTTACTGTAGACTATAGTAGTTAAGGTTATAATATGTGTTGTGTGTTAGATGTATGCGTTATGCGTAATGCATTTTGTGTGTATGTAACTATGTGAAACATTATAAAATTAAATGAAACAAGTTGTATGCAATATAAGCCCTATTTAATCTTATACAAAACACTGTGCGAGATTAAACTTTACATAAGCACACTGACTAAACCACTGAACATGCTGCTGCCAAGGATCATCATCATCTTCCCAATCTTTTAAACCACCACCACAATGGAAACACTCGGTCATGTCTGCATGGCCGGTATAAAAGTAGTGACTTAATAAACTCGTGGTAAAAAGAATACACAGCAACATCTTTATATAAAAATATGAAAATTATAATATGTGCCCGTATAAAAGATTACAGAATATCAAAATAAAGCTAAAGCGTAGAATTTCAATGAAGCAATATCGTAAACATAATAATTTTGGTGTCACCGTTTAATACCGATGTACATACGAGTATACAGTACATGGGCTTGGGTAATACTCGTAAACAAAGTTTAGATTCTGCATGAATAATTTTATCACTGTATACGGGAATGCAGAACCTTTTATTGGATAAAGTATTTGTAGTGATATAATTTGAGATCAGTTCGCCTTGTTTCGAGCTTCTCACACCCTGTGGCTATGTCGAGTATTGATTCTAAAATCATCTTGACCTACTTCCTGACGAGAGCAGTTCGGCAGTCGACCTTTGCTACTTAATCTACTTTGCAACCATATATAGAATTATCTATTTGTTTTTGTTATCGGGTTTTTGTAAATTTTCTAGGTTACTTCGGTCGGATATTTACTTTATTAAGAGGTTTGTATTTCAAAACCTAATTTATTTTTTATTAGTATCAAATATTTGCTTCATCACATCCACACCATATGAAAACTTGGCGTTGGTGGTCCACCACTGTTGGATTTACTAGCAATTTTCTTCCTAGCACGACTTCTTTGTGGAATCGTTTACCACTGCGGATTTTTTCGGATCGATACGAGTTAGAGAACTTCAAGAAATGAGCTTACTCCTTTCCGTCCTTACAACAAAACGTGGTTTCAGTTTTAAAGAAAAGTCTTTGTACGAAAGAAGTGTTTACATACTCGTCATTATTCTCTTGACCCGTGAGCTTTTTAGTTATTGTTTTTGTGATAAAATAATTTAAAAAAATAATAATTAAAAAATACCTGCCTACTATGATGGATTGGAGTAAGTCGACTCCACAATAGAAATAGAAATTTATAGAACTTTATCAAGGAGAACCTGTGATATGGGTATCCTAAAAATTGGTTTAATTTTTTTTATAAAATATGGGTGACAGATGAGCACACAGTCCACCTGATGGTAAGTGGATGCTGTGGCCTATAGACATCTAGATTTATCCTCGATTAAGAATCAAAATACAGATGCATTGACACCCATGAGTACTAAGATGGAATGCCTCGTTTCCAGTAAAAGGGTCTTTGGTTCTCTACACTCACCATACGAACACAGTAGCATTAAGCTGCTATTCTGTGACACTTCTATTTTGTGAGAACGTGGTCCTACCCCAGTTGAGCCGACCCATTCGTGCTACAACCATAATAAAGCTGCAGCTTGGCTTAAACACGTACAAAAAAAAAAATAAGAAAAATAAATATTTGCGAGTCTATTAAATATAAAATAGACATCGTATCGTAGCAACGAGACGCACATCATCAATGTTTAAAAGATCTACGTTGAATGAATACAGACGAATATGTAAACGCGTCGTACTTGTCCACGAATAACTCGGCGAGTTGTTTGTCCGATAATCTAAACCTAAACGTGCCATAATGGTCGATACCGGCTCACCGATATCGTGGCATTGAAAAGTATGGAGCGACCCATAATGCTTTTTCACTGCCCGATACTGATATTATGTCGTGGAGAGGTTATCGGCGACGACATTTCGGTACCACATCCGTACCTCACAGAATCGTTCCGATATAATAAAGAATATGTGACGACAGATATATGTGTGCGTGATATTAACTACTATTGAAGCGAACAAAGTGCGTGCTGTTTGTTTATATAAATTAATGTATAAGTTGTAATTATTAGATGGATTATAATTATTGAATTAAATTAAAATTTAATCTATTCTCTTTGTTTGTATTACTCCAAATATCTTAAAAAAATCGCACTGTCTTAGCGTAATATAAGCCTATTCATTCTTGCCTTGAAGATGCCCATATTGTGTTTGGATGGAAATAATAATAATAATATAATATACGTGAATATTAAACCCTGTCAAAAATTGAAAATATGATTGGATATTCTTCTAGCTTCTCGAATAATATCTATTACGTTCATTCAATGTGTCTCACTTTAACTATTTGATGTAACCAAAACTTTAACAATTAATCATTTTTTATCAAATAGGTCAAGCAAATATAATTAATATAAAATATAAATTTTTGATTGTCATATTTAATAAATACAATATGGCAATCTAGTCTGGACTTAAAAGTTCTATATTATCGACACGATATCGGTAGCGTGTCGTTGAATGAAAAAAGTTTTTAGATATTATGTCATATAAGTCGGCGATGACAAACATTATCGGTTCGTTTAGTAAATCGCACTGTCTTAGCGTAATATAAGCCTATTCACTCTTGCCTTGAAGACGCCCAGATTGTGTTTGGATGGAAATAATAATAATAATAATATTTAAATAAAAGTACAATAAAGTGAAGACTCTGATCCCAAAACTAGACAAGTCTGTATCTTAGAGATCAGCGGCCTCTCCCAGTGTTGTGGCAACAGTATTTTAATCTTAACAATTAATTAAGTAACTATTTAGCTATTTAAATGTATTTATTTACAACTAAACATAGACTATAACTTAATGCGACTAAAGTAATTTATATTTTATATAATCGTAGGTATATTAAAAATAGTTTGCAATATATATATATATATATATATATGTGTGTGTGTGTGTGTGTGTGTGTGTGTATATATTCATACAGAATATATATTTTATTCATTATAACCTATAATTAATAAATAGATACTTTAAACAAAGATTGCTATTTATAATTTTATACGACATACATTACTTACATACATTTTTACAAATTATACCAATTAAGTGACAATAACCAATCTCGAACTTTCGCTTTACACTCATGTCTGGAAAGAGGATAAAAATTTAGATTTGTATTTAGCTTATTATAAAGTACTGAGGATATATATGAACTTTGTCGTCTAGAAAAAGCAGTTTGACATCTGCCAATAATCAGTACATCCGGTATTCCGCGTTTATTACGACAGATCTCAGGGTCATAAGGAGTTAGTGCATGTTTCATTAAGATCAATTGTTGGATGTACAATTTGCCTGTCAGTTAGCAGTTTGCATTCTTGGTAAAGCAGATTTGTAGGATACCTGAACGGTTTAAAAGTCATAGTTTTTAGGAGACATTTTTGAGCTCTTTCTAATTTTATCATAAATGTTTTCCATGCTCCACCCCAGGCAACTATACAATAACCTATAATTGATTATGCTAAGGCGTAGTATACAGTTCTTAATAAATTAAAGTCAGCGATGTGCCTTAGCCTTTTAAATGTCCAAATTAGTATCCTAGTGCGCGATGAAATAAGGTCTATGTGTGGGAGCCAGTTTAGTTTCTCATCTATAATTACTCCGAGATATTTAATTGATTTGGATTTCGTCATTTTAGGGCAAAGGCAAGTATCTGTCCACTGTAAACCACAAGAGTGTATTGTTAGTTCTATATCGTTAACAGTTTGAGTGTTGATTATATGGAACTGCATATAGGTGGAATTAGATATATTAAGAGTCAGTAGATTCTCCTCAATCCAATTTGCCACAGTTTGAAGACCCCTCATCGCAAACTCCTGGACCTCAGGCCAAGTCTCTCCGTAGAAAATGAAGGCTGTATCATCAGCATAAGTAAATAGCTTGCCGTGAATTAGTGTCATTGAGCACAGGTCGTTACCAAGAAGAGACTTGGCCCCAGGATACTACCCTGAGGGACTCCAAACATGACACAGGCGTCTAAGATAATATTTTTTTTTATTTTTATTCCCTGCACACGGTCACATAGAAAATCCTTAAAAATGGAAAGGGCAGAATCTCTTACTCCAATTTTTTCTAGTTTGTTTACAAGAATGGGTATCGAAACGGTGTCAAAAGCCTTGGCTAAATCAAGGAAAATTCCTACACACTTCTGTTTATGGTCCGGTTTATTTGTTACAAATTCGGTCAAGTTACGAACAGCATCTTCTTTACTAACACCCGCTCTGAATCCGAACTGCATATTAGATAAGATATTTAACCAAACGATTATTAACCATACTTTGAACGTCGTTCAAAAACTTTGGTCAAGATTGACGAATTAAAGTCGATTCTGGAAGCCGATGATACTCAATATATGGCTGAATTAGCAGCAGCTTCGTACGTTATGATCAAAACAATATTGGTCCATTAGCGTCAAATTGGCAAGGTAAAAAAGCTTGACAAACGGGTGCCCCACGAACTCAATGATCGCAAGCGTCGAGTCGTGCCTTGCACTGCTCAACATGCACACAAACGAAGAAATTTTTAACTGCATTCTTACCTGCGACGGAAAATGGATTCTGTTTGACAATCGCAAGCGCTCAGCAAGTTGATTGGATCCTGTTTCAGCACCTAAACAATGCCTAGAAATGTGATGGTCACTGTTTGGTGGCCTAGCGCCGGTGTGGTTCATAACAGCTTCTTACCAAACGGGATGAGCATTACTGCAGATCTGTACTGTGAAGAACTGAACACAATGGTGGAGAAGAGTCTCAAACCAGCTTTGGTCAATCGCTCGTTCTCGCTACTCCTGCACGACAACGCGCGACTTCATACTGCACAACAGACGGTCTCCAAGTTACAAGGGATGGGGTTGGAAGCTCTCTGTCATCTCTCTATGAGTTTTGTGGATATCACTGTTTTTCCTGGTATTACTATTGACGCGAATCTTCAATGCGGACCCCATATATTTAAATTGGCAAGCAGACTTACTTCTGTAGCATATTATGCTGTAAGAAAGATTAAAGTCTCAAAAATGTGGAGACAGCTAGATTAGTTTATTTTAGTTACTTTCATAGCGTAATGTCTTATGGAATTTGTCTATGGGGTAATGCGACTGATATTGAAGCCATATTTGTTTTCAAAAGAGAGCCGTACGGACAATTTATAACTTAAATTGTAAAGAGTTCCTTAGAGAAAATTTAAAGAAATAAACATATTAACTTTGGCATCGCAAAATATTTATGAAAATGTAATGTATGTACATAAAAACGTAAACAGCTTTAATAAGAATAAGGATTTCCTACTTTAAACACTAGGAATAAGCATAAGCTTGTATTGCCAGTTACTAGACTCCATGCAATGTATACGCTTTTACAACAAAATCCCAGAACATGTTCAAAGTTTGTCAATAAACAAGCTTAAAAGTTTTATTAAAGAAAAATTGAAAAGGAAACTGGAAGAGAAAAAGGGTTATTATATTATCAAGGAATATATGAATGAAAATAACCACTGGGAATAAGGTGATCGCCACCATGCTGGTTCTATGAAAATTAATTTAAAAATTGTATAAACAAAATTATTATTAAGTGAAATATGTTTAAAAAAAGTCTCGCTGGGTTTCTTGCTGGTTCTCCCAGGACAGAGGTATTTTCCGAACCAGTGGTAAATAAAAAACGACCTTTAATAAATATTATGTATTGATAAATATTGAATAAAAAACATTCCATTCCATTTATTCCATCTGCCGTACTCACCAGACCTTGCGCCTACAGACTTCTACTTTTTCCAGAATTCGGACAGCTTTTTGGCGGGAAAAAAATTTAATACCGGAGAGGCGTTACAAAATGCCTTTGAAGAATTTGTTGACTCCCGTCCAGCTGATTCCTTCAAGAAGGGCATCAATAAACGGCCACTGCGTTGGCAAAGATGCATCGATTCTACGGATGACTTTGATTAATAAAAAATAATATAGAAAGAAATTACGATCACTTATTTCGTAAAAAACTGCAATTTCATAGCTAAAAACCTATAATATCTGTCCGGTTTTATTTAAGCATTATCTTTGATAAAATTTATTCAAATAGATCTTATTATTTGATATTTTCTTCAACAATTGGAGATACTAAGATTATGGTAAAGGGAGACTTTATAAGACAATATAATTACTATATGAATTGGTGTCAGGGTCTAATTAAAGGGATGGCTACAGGGACTAAAGCACTGGAACCTCTACAGTGAAAGCTTTTTTCGTATACAATTTTTTTTTGTATTTCAGAAAAATAGATCAAAATACCCTGAACCCTAAAATGAAAACTGAAAATTTCGGGAATCAAGGAAGTGACACAACATTACTATTTAAAAATGTATTTATTGCTTTTCGAAGTATTCTCCGCGAAATTTGACACATTTTTCTATACGATGGAACCAATCACTGAAGAAACCATTCCATTCGGAAGTTGGGGTCTACAAAATGGCCGTTTTGTAGGCGTCCACAGCTTCTTCAGGTGATGAAAATCTCTGTCCATGCAATTTATTCTTTATTTTAGGGTAAGTATAGAAATTATTAGGGCTTAGGTCGGGGCTGTACGGCGGATAGTCTAATAATTCTATGTTTTCTTGCTCTAAAAACTCATTTGTTCTGTGTGCGGTGTGAGAACTCGCATTGTCGTGATGGAGGATGATGCGGCGGTTGCAGTTCTCTTTACGGAGTTCAGAAACGACCTGTGGCAAACAAATGCTAGCATGCCATTTTGCATTAACCATTCTTTGTCCCTCAAGAGGAATAGTCGTAACATGGCCGGTTTTGGAGACAAACGTGGCCACCATTTTTTTTGCAACACTCCGTGAACGAACAATTTTTGTTGGCTTTAACTCATTTTCGAACACCCAAACTCGTGACTGGTTTTTTGTTTCGGGTTCGTACGCATATATCCAGGATTCGTCACCTGATACGATGTTGTATACAGCATTTGAGGATCCTGCGTGGAATCTTTCGAGAGTTCTGACGCACCAAGTAACGCGAGCCGCTTTTTGCTCTTCACAGAGCGAATGCGGTATCCATCGGGAAAACAACTTTTTTACAACAAATTGTTCATGCAAGATTATTTATATTTGACTCATGCCAATGTATAAAGTTGCCTGAATTTCGCGGTATGTCACATGTCGATCTTCCTCAATCAGCTTTACCGAGAATCTTTCTTTAAATAAATAAATGGTATTCCATTTTTAAAACTAAGGAGTTTTCAATTAAAAAGATTTTAATATGACAGGAACAGTGGAAATATTACATTCGCGATACTTTTAGTGCAGCCTATTCAAAAATGACGTAAAGAATTGTTGATATATCCTTCAATTCTTTGTGAGTCCAGAGCCATAAACACTTGAAATCCCATCTCCCTTAGTTTACTCATATGTGTATAGTTTAGTTACACAAATTGTTAGCTTTGTACTTCATTATATTTCCATATTCTGATTGTTTTAGTGGCACACGCACTGATTCCTTATTTGGCTAGATTCCACGCATTAGAATGCCTAAGTTATTCCATTTTGTAAACTCCTTTTAACACACATTGCATACATCATACATATGTACATTATACATTGCGTATAATTTTAAAACTACTGACAATACGAACTATAAAATTATAGAATATATTTCTGGTGTGATTGCCTAAGTGACTGGCAGACTTGTTCTGATATATACGTTGAAATCTGGAGCATTTCAATTAGATCTCATTTATTGTTCAACAGTCTACTCTTCAATCTCCGGATGCAGGATAAAGATCCAACTTGAGTCTTATTGCATAACTATAAAACTCAAATTCCATAGTTGGGTACCCTTGTCTTGAATAATGTACGATCAGAAACAAAGTGGATTTGATATACAGTAACCTACTAGGTAGATGTTGCAAGGAAATAATACTAAGTAACGTTTTGCAGAATAAGAATGTGATTAAGGAAATACAAAACAAAATTACCTTAAAAATGATTTTTATTTTTCATTTTATGTACCTACCACACTTTTTTCTACGGTTTTGCTGGCGTTTAGTGAAAACTTTTAGAGTCAACAATCATGCAAATTTTTACATGTCGGTGCAGGTTCCCAGGTACATAAAACGGTGCAAAATTTTATAATTTTGCTTATAAAATTTTACATTTTATTTTCGTCGGCGTTTTCACTGCAAAATACCACAAGATATTAATTCCGTTTTAATGATATATTCCTGTTTAAACTCTGGCTGTGGTTAAATTCATTGTATTAAAGTTGTTTTATCGCTATGATAACGCAATTCAGTTATCGTCGTCGCCAGTCTACTCAGCCTTGGCCTACATACGCTAGCCCTATGTACCTACTGCGGCATTTGAATCTAAATATTAACGTAACTAAATAAGTACTTCCTTAACGTGAACTCTATGACTAAACTTTTAAACATAATATGTTTATTTTTAAATATTACGAGTATTTAACATTGGTAGGCCACGCATTGTTTTGGCTCGACCGTGGAAGGACCACGCTCGCACAGAATACCAGCGTGAAATAGAAGTATAATGGAGCTTTGTATGATGAGAACTTTCATAGCTTTTCACTGGAAAAGAATTCTATCTTAGTCCTTGGTAGTGACAACGCATCTACATTTTGATTCTTTATTGGTGAAAGTTTATTTATAGGCCACAGGGACAACTAACCATCAGGTGGACTGTGTGCTTGTTTACCCTTACTTCTAGAAAAGTTTTGTATAGTAGACGTAAACACCTATGTAATCGTAATTTTTATTATTGTTTTCTACGAGCTGACATATTTATTAAAATCCTATTAGAAAAGTAGTATATCATGTGATGACTTGTTTATTAGGGCTGAGTTCGGAGATAAAATCTACAACTCAACAGAACAGAAGTAGAATAGCACAGCCCATCGGATCAGTAAGCTGAAATGTCAATTGCTCGCCCATATAGCTCGAAGGACCAAAAACTTAGAGGGAAGAAAGGTTGAAATGTCATGTGCAAGTCGGTGCATGACTGTGCTTTGTGGTAATTGTTAATCTGTGGGAGAGACCGATGTACTTGTAATTGATGGTGATGATTATTATTATTCTAACATCTTATTAATATTCTAAATTTGGAGTTGTATATAATAATTTAGTGCGACAAATAGGTAGTGGATCGGATTGAATCGGAATATTTCTATTTCCTATCTACAATATACTTCATCCAGAGATAGAGAGGTTGATAATCATCTATCCTAAATATCGTTTCAAGAATTATTAGGATTTGTGGTCACAATTTTCAAAAAAATCACTGATTAATAAAATTGATTACGGAAATATTACCTACGCCCACTTTATTTCACCGTACATCAGTGTTGTTAGATAAACGAATGCAAAATAGGAAAAAAAATCCAAATGGAAATATACTATTAATTAAAGGAACATCAACAGAATAAGAACTATCTTATTCCGATGACCAATGTACTCATACAAAAAAAGATAACGAGAGTAGGACCAATTGACATTCGAATTAGAGGAAAAATTTTATCTGATGTACTAAGAACTACTGATTTTCTTTTATAGTACTGTCAATTTTATCAAAGTTGATGCATAAACTTCCTTGTTGATCAGAGAAAAACGAATATTCCATTTTATAATACCAAAGTCTACGTCAATAGAAACTACAATAAAGTTGGAACGAATCCAACCATACTGACTGGCGCTACGAACGAGTACGAGTACGTATGCAGTTTATTTAAATATCGCTATCTGTAACAGAAAGCGGATTTTTTTCTATAAATTGTAGCTTAAATAGTTTTTATATTAAGATCACATTAAAATTTTTATGACAGAATTTTCTTAAAATTGTAGAGATAATACTTGTTAATTATTTATTATTTAACAGTGGTAGAGCCACGCGGCAGCTTTTGCTGTCGCACGGATGGGCCGGCTCGAACCGGGGTAGTACCACGACCTCACAGAAAACCAGCGTGAAGTAGAGGTTTACCTCTGCGTTTCGCTTGGTGAGTGCAGGTGGCCGGAGGCCTTTTTTACTGGCAATGAGGCATTC